CACACTTGAACTTTTGTGGGAAAGTCAAGTGTGCAGGATCAGGGTCTCCTTTTGGATGTGTTTCATTACCAAAGATCGTCAACCTATGTAGTTGATGCAACTCCCATGATTTCAGACATTGTATGTCCCCTGTTCTTCTTGATCTTTAACCTGAAAGGGTTAGAAACCAAGAATACCCGAAGGTGCATTCTATCCTAACAACACGTTCTTGCTTTTTATTGAAAAGGAAGTTTTTTGTTGGTTTTTTATATATATGTTTTTTATAATATTTTTTTCTCATGATAATCCAAGGTATCTCCCTGCAGTGCTTAATTTATGGTCTTAAGCTTGATAGTGGTAACTTCGTCTTGCAGCTATCATTAGTGGTGTAGTTCCTAGCTTCACCACTAAGCATTTAGCATCATTGTTCAAGCTATAGGGTTAGTACCACAGTGCTACTATGAGATTTGTAATATTTGTGATAAACAAGGCATCCACAACTATCCTCCTAAAGAATTTGCAAACGAGGAGTGATAGGTGGTTGTGTTCCTTGTAGGAACGCGGGTACTAAGCAACATGTCCATGGCACAAAAGTTTTCGTTCCTAAGGGATTTATCATGTAGGATTAACATTGAATTTTACCATCATTGAGAACAACATTTGGATGGACAGAGGTACATGGCTTGGGTTCGAGTGAGGGTGATAATGGACGTTCAGTTTCATAACAAAGCTTAGGTGAAACGAATGGAGATATGAACTTCACCACCTCGAACGGGTTATTGTTGGGATGATGCTCCACCATTGGGATATCTAAGTGAGTGGCGGAAGCAGTTTTCCCAAACTCTTCACTAAGGCTCCCATGGGAAGGTTTTTCTTGGAAAAGATTGTCCAAGGGGTGGCCTATGAGAAACTCATATTCAAGGATGGCATAGATACGGAAGTCTAGGTGAACCTCGGTTTCATCTATTATGATTGGCATGTCCCTGGCGATCCCATGACACTCGAAAAATAGTCCCAAAGGACTTTTGAAGAGTTTATTGGTTGGGACTAGCGGCATGTTACCCAAAAGGTTTTTCGCTAGGAATGTGGACATGATACTAGTCCCGACTGTGAGGTTGTGTAGGGCTTCTACGTTTGTTCCCCTTAATGAGCAAGGTATGGTCGTGGAAGGTGAAAGAATCTGAATTGCTTCAGAAGAACATTTCACTTCCCTTAACCATTTCTTTGAAGGTTCCATTCTAGGGGAAACTTTCTTTGTGTGCTTTTCGTGCCGTGATATCTTCAAGGTATTGCCATAATTCTAGAATTTGATAGGAAACTCTGAAGGATGAATTAATCTTTCCTTCGATGTTCGTGGTTCGGGTGAGGGCTCACAAGTTGAATCTAAGGTTGGTATAGGTTTGGATTCAACTGGTGAGGACTCCTCAACACTCGACATAACTTTTACCTGGAGGAATTTGGTTCTTATAACAGAAGAAGTGTGTCTGTCTATGAAGTTTTCAAGGAATTTTACTTGTTCTGTCATAGGTTTGTGTGTGAAACAACCTCCGACAGTCATGTCTTGGCATAGGTCAGCATGTGTGTTGATACCCAAACAAAAAAGTCGCATCAATATGCTATCGGGTAAAGACAAGTCTGGGCCGGTGTGTAATAACACTTAAAACCTAGCCCAGGCTGCACCTATAGACTCCTTCGTGTATGGCTCAAAGTTAAAGATTGCCTTTGGTAGAGAGGCGATACGGGACATGGGGAAAAATACAAGACAAAACTTGTCTTTAAGTTCATCCCAGTCCCCATTCATACTTTCTATGGCAAGTGTGTACCATTGTTTCACCTTCTCTATGAGAGAAAATGGAAACAATCTTCACTTTAGAGTTTCTTGTGTCATGCCTGAGATGCTCAGGCATGAACACATTTCCTCGAAATCTAGCAGGTGATTGCAAGGGTTTTCATTATAATGCCCTGAGAAGGGTTGTGCCCAAACCATGGCTATTAAGCCAGGGTGGAGTTCATAGCCAGATGAAAAGTTTGGTTTTGGTGGTGGCTTAGAGAACTCGCCCTTTGAAGCGGAAGGGTACGGAGTTGAAGTTGGCTTCATGGTGAAAATATATTTTTTGTTTTTTTTATAAAAAGAAAATATACAAATACGAGGACGAATTAGGTTCGAAGAAACTAGCAACCGATCCCCAGCAAGGGCGCCAGAAATGTTAGTTGATATTTCTTAACGTGTACAGAAATATCCGCAAGCACATGAAATTATCCTTGTAGCATTTTACCCAGAAGTATTCTGGATATCGTATTTTCCATAGGGAACGGAAGTACTCTTCTAGCTAGTTTGTCCAAGGACAACACAAGAGTAGAGTTGGTAAAGATTGAGATGGATGCCTATGGTTATAGGGTCTATGGATAAATAGACCCTACTTCTACTTGCTCACTTCGGGCGTCGGCTTACACCTAGTCTGCCAAGCGATTTTGGCCTTCGATCTACGTCGAACCCGAACGTGGGGTAGTACAAAGGACGGACAGGGCTGTCGCCACCTGCCGCCTACCCCTCAACCATGGAGAATAAAGCAAACGAAGGTAGCCTCTAGCCTAGGCACAATGTCTACGCTATCGACTACTACTCTAGTGTGTATACAAGGGTTATCCGTCTCTATCAGGGCCCTTCTACTAGAGCATTCGTTGCAAGGGCGAACGATGATCCCGTAAATAAGTAAGAATAAAGCTTAACTAATCAAAAGACTTTGTACCATAGAAAACACAAACACTCACTTAGCGGGAGAACCCGTTGAAGTAAGATGCTCGTCGAGGAACAAGTTGGGGAGACGCCGACAAGTCTGGCGCTTCCCCGAGCTCTCCCTCACATCTCTCCCTTACAACTCTAGCTAGCTACTAGGACCTAAGCCCCTTTGGAGTGTTGCTCTAACTCAAGTGAGGTGTGCTCTTCTCCCTTGTGGTGGTGTGTTCAATGAGAGGGAGTGAGGGGGTATTTATAGGTTGAGAGGAGTGGAGGCCACTCAATGTGCGACGTCAGTGATCCATGTGCCTCTTCACCACAGCCCTTGGATCAAACTGTCATAGGATGGATGGTGAAGATGGAGTGGAGTTGTGTTTCCTTGCATGCCTTCCTATCTTGAGCAAACTGCCATCCTCCGTGCCAAGTCTTCTGCGAAGCACATGCAACCGACGTTTGGAGAGGCGGCATGAGCCAGCTGACGAAAGTTCTGGCCGAACGGAGACAGTGAGGGGTCGGCCAACCCCCAACTAAGGCCAAATTGGCCCATCTTCGGTGGGTGATCTCCTTTCGGCTTCTAGAGTGGGCCTATGTAGTGCTTTCGTGGAGATAAGGTAATTTGATTTGGGTTTGCCCATATTTTCCTCTCTTCTGGGTCCTGTTTTGCCTAGCTGTGGGGCTCCTCCCCCTTTGGGCTCGTGTCGGGTGTCTATAATGTTGTATTTCTTGTATACTTTAGGCCAATTTTTGTATAATCCCGACATGTCCTCCTGTAAATGAATAATTACCAAAACTTGTGGAATTGATTAGTTATAAGTCCTAATTCTATGTTTGGTGTTTATTTTAACAGTTTTTATATGAAAGTTGGCGGTTAGAAATTGGAGTTAAGGACCGCCAACAAAGTGCTCTTCACGCGACTGGTCCTAATCTTCGTAACGTCGTGTTCATCACCAACTGCATCGAGCTCTTCCTCCACATCTCATCAATGACTTTGTACCACCTCCAGCCACGACCTCTCTAGCTATAAATGAGAGGTACGCACGCTGTGATCTAATCTATTACTTCAACATGTCCCTGGTTCAATCGTGATGTTGTTCGGTTCAACTAGCACATTAGATCTTTACATGCTAATATGTGAGATTGTCATGATTTAGGTTCAAGTTTTAATCTCAAAATTGCCTATTTTCTCGACAATTCCTTCACTCCCGGTAACATAACTTTTTAGTGTGGTGTGGAGGAACATGCATAGATGATGAGGGTGGAATCTCGCACATTGAAATAACTGTGCATCCACATTAGTCTCTGTCGCTGTTTTTGTCAAAGCTTAGCAAGATGGATGTATTAATTTATTAATGAACCGGATGGGAGATGGCTATCTAACAGGAAGAAGAGCCAGACCTTTAAACAATGTCGTTGTGCAGCGCAAACAGAAAGAGTGACATCAACTTAGATCTCGTGACATTTCGCAGGCACTGCCCATATGTCAATATTGTCATATATATCTACATCAGTTGATGACTGAGTTATCGATGACGCACAAACTAGAGCAATGGTGCAAGAACAGGCCAGATACATGCAATGGAAAGTGAATTTGACCTTCCCGTTGTGCACTTGTGGGAAGCTTTTCTTATGATTCTATAAGCTCGGATCAATTAGATGAAAGCTGCTATGTTGAGATTTATATATAGTGGCCTAGGCGCCATGATCGCAATTTATGTGGACAAACTGAATAGTGGGTGGTCATGTTTGTTTCCATGTAAAAATAGATTATATAAACATACATATATGTACGTTTTTGGTTGCTAGCTCTTTGAAACGAAAACGAAATACACCTGAAATTATTTAATAAGTATATGACAAATTTGGTTCATCGCGATCACTAATTCTTGGACTGAACAAAAACTACTATTTTTTTTTATATAATCCATTTCACACCACAATTCAGTAGATTACAAACTCTGAGACCAATTCGAAATTTCTAAACCATGGGCAAGCAAGCTGCGCCGCAAGGTATATTAATTCTCAACCAATAAACAAAATTTACTTGTGTTCTATAACTAATCTGCTATTGTCATATACTCACATCTATGAATCTCAACGCTAAAATTAAAAATATTACGCACAACTTGCACAACTTTATACATAGCCAGCTCCAAGGCAAGGTCACCCCTCCAACTCCAAGAATATAAAGAGACCGGCACCATTCATAGGCGACCATACTACCCTAGCTCTCAAACAGAACTAGCTACCGCCTGCAGTTCTGCACTGCAAGATCCAGCCTTGAGCCATGTCGCTGTCATCGAACACCAACTCACTGCCCTGCTCGACGGACAAGGGCGGCTACAGCACGCACGACACGCTTGTGCTCCTCGGCATCGGCTTCTGCGCCACCGCCGTCTCCATCCTCATCATCGTCATCTGCGAGTGCCTGTGCTGCCGCCGCCGCCGCCGCGGCGCGGGGGGAACCGTCGTGTACGTGGCGGCGGCCCGGCCGTTCTTCCTGCACGGCACCACCGACGGCGACGGTGGGCTGAGCCCCTCCGCGGTGTCCACGCTGCCGTCGTTCGTGTTCCGTAGGGACCTGTCGGTTGGCGGCGGCTCCGGCCGCCGTGGCGAGGGCAGCGGCAACGGCAGCGGCAGCGGCAGCGGCAGCGGGCGCGGGTGGGCGCAGTGTGCGGTGTGCCTGAGCCTTGTGCAGGAAGGTGAGGTGGTCAGGCGGCTGCCGGCGTGCATGCACCTGTTCCATGTCTGCTGCATCGACATGTGGCTGCACTCTCACTCCACGTGTCCTCTCTGTAGGGCCACGGTTTTGCCTATTAAGGAGGTCCCTACAAAAGACGATCAGCCTCCGGTGTAACGTATTATAAAATGTAATTTAATCTAGGTTGATGTATAATATATAGCTATATATAAATTATATACGATAGATGTCTCTATCTTTATAACTAAAATATTCATAAAAGAATTATTGACCAGACGTGTGAAACAAATCATCGCTCGGCCCGACTCCTTCGTCCTAAACAAAACCTTCCGCTCGCTCGCTCGAATGACCGCGCCGCCCCAGTCACGCCCGGTCCGCAGCCGGCCCAACCCCTCCCACGCAGCGCCGCCGACCGATGCAGTCCACCGCCGCCCTGACCTGCTCCCCGATCTTCTCCACGGGCGCTCGCACAACCGCACCCCACCCCCACACAACCCATCCGCCTCCCCGCGCCTCTCCCCCGATCCGCCTCCCCGCGCCCCTCCGCCGCGCCTCCGTTGCGCTGCGCCATCGCGCCGCGGCCACTGTTTTGCCGCTGTGAGAGCTGTTATTGTCAAATATTTTGCAAGGCGGCGCGGGCGGTGTTGCGCGGACGGCGCAGGCGGCACGGGCGCGGATCCTCACCACGGCAGCGGCGCTCAGCCCCCACAGTTTGTGCCTTGCCGCGCGGCCATGCCATACCCGTGGAACCAGCACACACTGACGAGCACCGCCCGCCGGTGGCCGCGTCCTGCCCGATGTCCAGCTCGCCTAATCTGATGAGGACCATCTCGCCTAGATCTCCCTCGGCGCTCGGACGTGCCCCCACCTTTCCGTCAAGCAGCATCGCCAGGTGCGGTTGTGGTTGTGGACTGCCCTGTGCCCTCATCAAGGTGAGGTAATATGCGAATCCTATCGAAACAATAAATTAGGATGCTCGTCATATCTGTAGTGTTAGCGTTAGATTTTCTACTAGGGGAGAAATTAGTATTACGGTTTGTTTTGAAGTGCTTCAATGTTGAAAGAAACTCATGCAAAGAGAACCACAAACCAGGGCTTAGAGTTGACACACGAGCGAGAAGAACAAAAGTTGTTTCAGAAGCATTGGACTGAAGCAGGTTTAATTCATCAAAATAGTTCTGTAGGTCCAAGTCTAAGGCTATGATAATTGGCACTCTAAAAGTATTATCTGATTGTTACAAAGAAACCACCTTTCTAAATTCTACAGGACCTGCAGTCTAATTATATAATTGTTTATGTGCACCAAACAATCTTAGTCTAAATAGTATTTCTGAATTCTATTTGAATGAGCTTTGATCTGAATTTAGGGTATCCGTAAACAAGGCAACAATTACCAATTTATTGATGTAAGTGATTAATTTCTGTAGTTTTTTATGGTCCCACTCTGCCATTCCAATAGAGTGATGAATAATTTATGCTGTTACTTCTTTATAAACCTTCGCAGATATTAGTCAGCTCAACCTACCAAGGGCCACATCAATTTCTTTTTGTGATGATAAGGATGATATATGCTGGTGAACTTTGATGCATTCAGTTATGCCATCCCAGTAATATGTACCAATATGTGTACTTCTACCTCTCATTACCAGATTAAGCAACACATCAGAGGTTCTCGTGGCTTCTATTGCTGCAAATGAGTTATTAGGCTATAAATTTTGCACAACAAACAGTGGATTCTTGACAATATTTAAGCTAACTAAATATTGCGAAGTGCTGGAGGCCATTAATTTGAGCTAATTAATGTAGCATCTTTCAGGGGGAGAGTTTCTATAAAAAAAAAGGGCGTACCCAGTGCAGAGAGCTCCCGCTCTGTGCGGGATCTGGGGAAGGGTGTTAGTGGCAAGAGGGGGAGAGTTTCTATAATCCTTATAATTCCTCAAGTGAAGTGCTGGAGGAATTGAATAACAAAGGCTTGATCAAGGAGAATGAGGGTGTCTGAGTTATATTTATTCAAGGTCATCCAATCCCTTTGATAGTGATGAAGATTGATAGCGGCTTCAACTATGCCTCAACAGACCTAGCTGCTCTTTGGTAAGTGCTTGTGCCTTTTTTTTAGATGAAGTGTTTGTGTTTTTCAGGTTCATTCAGTTGTTCTCTATTGAAGCAAACAGAGTGTATTTGTGCAATTGATGCATCTACTTCTCTTATGTAACTTCATCTACTAATGGCGCCTCTGCTTATCCGAGAAGATGAGTTGCAGCGGTAGCGCCAGGGCGTGTCTTTGTTGTCCAAAGTCGCCGTTATGCCGATAGTCTCAATTGGGAGAGCCAAGGCATGCTGGCCAACATCGATGCGGGCTGCCGCGGAGAGCGATGGGCATGAAGTTAGACGGGTCATTGGTGTGCAAGGTTCTCTTTGCACCGTTCCACACCGTCCTCGCCAACCTGGAGGAGGTCTTCCTCGGCACCAAGCTCCTCGTGCTCTTGCCCACCCATCGCTCGCCATTGCCACCCAGTGCGTGCACTTCAACCAGGTACGTACCGGGGTACCCCATACCCCTCGGTTGCTGTCAGCCATCTTCCTGTTTTGTCTCTCTTCTCTTGCTGTTTTTCAATCGCCGATCATCAGTAGGACATGTTGTTGCATGCCGGCTTCGGATAGAGTGGGTGCGAGCAAGGACGAACACGATATGTGCTAAATATATGCAATGATTTGAATTATCTCAGTGCTACTTACAATTAGGAATTTCTCAAATAACAAAAATTGTTGTTCAGTTCACACATGACAACACTGAGATTAATGTGGAACTTTGTCAGGCACATCTAATCTAATAAAGTGAAAGCACTATCCACTATCAAAAATAGAGAACAACAAAGTTTCTTCTTATTGTGAAAAACAGAGAATAGTGTTCCTAGCAGAACAACGCAACTGGATTTTTTTCCGAAACGGAATATGAATGTTTCTTGTTCTGTCAAAACAACTGAGAATTTTTTAAATGGTTTGGTCACCACTCACCACTAAGATAATTTTGGTAGTAGTTGAGGTGCTTTCACGAGTTAAATCTGCAAGGGCAACCTTTTAGGTAACAGATCAGTTAACATTTGGCGTCACGCAATTTCATGTCATCACGGATGAACTATGTAAATGCATAGTCACACAGGCAAAACTACCAAGACAATCTATTTGGTTTTAGTCGCATCTTTCTACCACAACAAAACAACCAAGGAATACCAATCTTAAAATTAAACACTCTCTCATGTCTCATGGCTTCAAATTAAACTTATAGAGTTCAATTTAACTACTCTGGGTCATCTAGAGTGGTAGAGCACTTTTCTGTTTCACATGATAAGACCATGAGAGAAGCTGCACTCTGCATGATGGATGTTTGCTTTCGTTGGCCTTTTTCCTGAAGTGTCCTTTGTCTTTAAATAATCATTTATTGTAGTTTATACAAGATCTTTGGAGCTAAACAAACAGATGCCCAGTCAGTTCTTTATGTGAAGGACCTTTTGGGTTTGTTTATTCATCTATTGGGCTCTTAATTTCAGGATTTTAATGCCTTTTCTTATTCCTATATTGCTTCTCTTAATTTTTCCAGGCTCTTGAATTAGTGTGGGCGTGTGGCAGAGTGCTGGCAGATCCTGGGTATTCGGAGCTGATGACATGCTTAGTGAATATGACAAATGGTTGATCACGAGTTCATGGGAACCGTGTCATCAAGTAAAAGGAGAACAATACTAAACCGACTATCTTGTATTCTTCTTCGCTTGCGGAATGGTAGCATATATTATTTGTAGATGTTGTAATATTTGCTAGCTGCACTTCCTCAAATGGGAAAATGTTTTTTTAGTGGAGATCAAGTCATTCCATCACAGTTTATTGACAACTATCATAGGGAAATATTCACATATATCTTTATGCTTCACTTTATGATGCCCAAATGTCTGTAATGTTTTTGACATGTTTGATAATTGATATTGACAACTAGCTTTCATCCAAGAAAATAAATTTACCTTTTGTATGGTTTTACAATTAAGGACATCTATGTCTTCCTAACTGATGGTGGCTATTTTACATGTATCTCACACTGACAGGTTTGTGGGAAAATTTATAGAACCTTGGTAGCAGTAGGATGCTACAATTGACGAACAACACGCCGACTGCCTGGGTGCATTGAGATGTCTAATCCTGGATGCTGGCGATAGGTTTGTATGTAAGCCTTCCATTTCTTCATTATGCAACACTATTACTGTTCCATAAACATTTAGGTTTTTGTGGGATTGAGATACATCTTGACATTCTCTGAATCTCAGGTTGAGGATTGGCGCAATCTGAGGTAGACTCCGAGCTAGGGAAGTGCCTCCAAAAGGACTCGATGCTGGTCCTTAGCCTCAACTATGCATAGAAGGCTCTTTCAACCCACCTAGCTTTGATAATTTCATCTCCTTTGTTGTCGTCTAGGAAATGCTTTCTCTGTCACAATCCAGGAAATTAAGCTTATGTTGGTACTTATGGGAGCCAGTGATCTTGTGAGTGCTCTGGACACATGCTCATCAAGGCAAGGGGATTCGAGGATAGATGCTATACCACGAGCCCAAGGTGAAGCAGCTGTGTGGCATACAGTTCAGACAATAATAATGTTATCTTTATTCATTCAATCTGCCAACGCTACTAGAGGATTCCTGATTTGTACGGTTCTATAGTTTTTTGTTTTTGTCAAGGCTATAACTGTCATTTAGGTTATGGTATACAAAATTTTAGCTGATGAATCCTAAACTTTTGTTTTCAGTACGTAAATTGGGTTGTTTTGGAATTCTACAGTACCTTAGTTCATAAATAAAAGGAATTCAACATTTTCTGCATGTTATGGGATTTTACATATGTTTTACCCATGTAGCTTACACCATGAGATTCGATGTATGTCCGTAGCGACGCACGGGTACTCAACTAGTTTACTTATATATTTATAACGAAGTTTGTGAGAGTTCAACTGTCACATATTATTTTTATAGAGTTGCTACCTATACCCTGAACAATCAATGCTAATATTTGAGTATATATAATGTAACTTATTTTTATATGGAGAAGGTTGCAATTATAGTTCATCAGGACGATAATGTTGGACAAATATAATGATGACTCAATTATGCCTTTGAACTAGTTTTGTGCAGACTGCATTTGTCTATTTATGATCCCTATACCTATACGTATGCTTAAGTATTGTGGGACCATGCATTCTTTTTATCTAAAAGATACGATGGACCTGGTAGCAAGAAATCTGTGGCAACTGTCTGATTGGTTCTTGAGATTGACAAATGATACAATATGGACAAAATCATCCTCAAGTCAACTCAATCATACACCTTTTCTATCAACTCGCCGTTTGGCGAGGAGTATTTCAACGTCCAAACATGATTACATATCCCCGATGACATCATTATTTCCCTTTGGTAGATCAATTGAAGTAACCGTGCACATACACCACAGCGACAAGGATTTTTGAGGCAAACTCTGTTGCCCGTCCATTAAGGCCTCGTTTGGCACAACTTTGCCGAGGGCTTCCTAAACTGTTGTGAGTTTCTTCTTTTTTGTCAAATGGGTTTTTTTTAAAAATAGATTCACACATGAGGCTTCTTAAATCTTTCTATCACATCGGAATGGGGTAGGATGAAGCTGAAAATAGTAACTTTTCACGGATTCATCTCACACTTATGGGCCTATTTCGTACGGAGCCGCCGCCGTCGAGCACGCGCGACATGGATCGGAGGCGCTACCGTCAGGTGCGGGTGGCCGAGAGGCGCTGCCATGAGAGGCATGGCCGGTTGCCGAGCTTGTGGGCGTGTGTCGGAAAGAAATACCATGGGCTTGTGGTCATCATTTTAATTTTATTCTTTTTGTCGTCAGCTCTTTTGTTAAACGGAGTCATGAAAACAACTCAGCTGCATCGATAAAGCTGCTCCATGAGCTGAAACAAAACAAAACAACTTCATTAGTAAAGCTTAGCTATGCAAACGGGCCTAAGAAACTAAACTATTGCTATATCTATATAGTTCATACCCCACTAAACAATAAATTCTTTTAAAACTCAATCCTCAACGCTGCCACGTCACTCAAATCTATCCGTCCATTCACTGTATGTCGTCCTGCTCTTGCGTGAAGGTAGCTGAGCTGCTGAGATATGACGCCGGCAGGCGGAATGGCGCCCATTTTGATTACCAAGTCGAGTAGGCGCTATATGACGCCGGCAGGAATGGCGCCCGTTTCGGCAGGCTGTTCTAGCAGCAGCTGTTGCTGACGTGGCTGTTTGCCTCCTCATATATTACTGTAGCGCTGAACTCTCCAGGTCTTGTCACCAAAAACCTTCCCCTGTTGACAGAACGTCCCGCTACTGACACTTGAAAAAGCAGCTTTCAAGGTCTCGTCGCTTCGGTGAATCACTTGAGCCCTGAAACATTTTCGGTGCCATGGAGTTAGACCAGTGAGCTATCACGCTTTCTTCTAAGGATGGCTGCTTCCAAGCCCACACCCCAAGTGTTTCAAAGGAGGATTATCTTGACTTAGGTCTGCCTCCGGTCTAAATGAAATCAACCTAAGTGAAATGAAGTCTGTACCGTTCCGTTGCAAGAGTTTACTCTCTTAAAATTCATAGAACAAAAAGAAGTTTTTTTAGGCTCTTATCCTCATTACTGTGAGTGCTGCCCCCCTTGTTAAGGGAAACCGACCAGACGCTTCGCACTAGCAGCAGCGGCTGATACAAGCAGTTGAACCGTAGAAATCACATTTCCGATGGATAGTATATTTAAAATTAAATTATGTCCAATCAAATGCCCTCTCTCTCGTATCATGTACCAGTCATAGCTCTTGGTATCTTGGTTATCATTTAGACATGATTTTCTATATTAGAAACTACTATCTCCGTCCTAAAATAAGTATCGCTATAGTATTTGTGCCGATCAAACTTTCTTAAGTTTAATTAGGTTTGTAGAAAATATAAGCAACATTTGTATCTTTAAATAAGTTTATTATAAGAGTAGATTGAACGATATATCTAATGATACTAATTATTTACTATAAATATTAATATTTCCTTTACATATTTAGTGAACGTTAAAAGTGTTTAACTACTGGGAAGATGGAAAATTGGGAAGCGAGAATGACACTTAGTTTGGAACGGAGGGAGTATCTCTCAGTTTTTTATTAACTATGGTGCCACATCACTAATTTGCTTAGTTTGCACACTAATTAATAGCCACATAAACCATCCAGTTTTTAAGCTGAGAGTGCCCTTAACTATAACAAACTTATAATAGATACTGCAGTGTTAAATGGTACGTTGTCTTATCACCAAAAGAATAATAACACCCTTAAATCTACAATTTTTCAACTACGCATTGGTGGATAAGCACATTGTTCACTTGGGCCCTGTCTATCACAAAAAGAATAACCGGGAGAGATCCAATAAACCGAACTGATTTTCTTTTCGTTGCTGCGTATATACAATTTTCAGTATCCGCCCTGTCCCTGCCATTAACACAACAAGTTCTAGAAGCACACAAGAACTTGAGCGTGCTGTAACCGGCGTTCAGACTTCAGATTCAGACACGACGCTGTGACAAACGTGCCAAGGAACACATGGTTACTTCCGTTTCCGCCGTAATCTGAACCTGATGCGCTCCTGAATTTTTTGATTAATAAATACTCTCTGGTACTAGTTCTTCGGGCGCGCCCATGCGCGCGGGCCACTGGCCACACGTATTTTTTGGGAAAAAAAAGATATAATCAAGGGGGGTCTGTATTTCGATTTGAGAAAAATCTGAGGAGGTTTTCGAAAAAATCGCTGAGAGTGTCTCTGGAGTGCGGGTTGATTTTTGATAAAAGGAAGGGTTTTTTTGCAAAAAATCCGGAGCTCATCCGTTCTGGACTACGGGTTGATTTGAAAATTATCTGAGGTGTTATTTGCAAAATATTCTGAGAGGACCTCTGGAGCGCGGGTTGATTTCCCAAAAACATAAGGGGTTTTTCATAAAATGACCGCGCCTCGCCCGATCTGAGCCGTCGATACGGCCGATCGAACGGCCGGGAACGTGCCATGTGGGCAGCCTGGCCACACGCTTTCTTGTCTTTAGATACTAAACTGCAGTGGTTCGACGCTGTCTCTTATGAAGCGACGACGGACTACTTAATGCCGCGCGCTAAAAGCTTTGGCCGCAAGCTAAGTGCCAAGTAAGCAGCATAGCACGAAGCACGTTTCTACCGATCATGCCAAGGTTGTACACGAGGCCCTCGGTGCTCTCCGCCGAGTCTGTCGACGACATCATCGGCGACGGCTACGGCGTCTTGGCAACCGTAGCGGCCGAGTCCTGCTCGTTGCTCGTCGCGTCCTGCGTGCTCGCCGCGTCCGTCATCATCTGGGAGGCGTGCGCCTTCGCTGCCTTGGCCGCGGTGCTCGTCGCCGGCGTCACCTGGTGCGTGAGCGTCACGGCCGCGGGTGGTGCTGCCGGCACGGCGTTTCCCACGACCGCCGCGCGCCAGGCAGAGCCAGAGCCAGCGGAGTGTGCGGGCTTGCCGAAATAGACATCAACGCGCTGCCCAAGTCCCCGTACCAGCACCGCCTTGCCGGCGGCCCCGCGGCCGGAGGAGACGGAGTGACGTGCGCCGTGTGCCCGGAGGACCTTCGCGGCGGCGAGATAGTGCGGAGCCTGCCGGAGTGCCGGCACCAATTCCACGTCGACTGCATCGACGCGTGGCTGCAGATGCACGTGACGTGCCCGCTGTGCAGGTCTGATCTCTCGCCGCGGCGACGGGTTACAACGGCCGCGCCGGTAGGATCGCAGGCTGACTCACACTCACGCCGCAGTAGCGCTATTGTAGTGCGAGCTGCAATGAAGGGTTAAAAATGTTATCGAATAGTAGCGTACGTTTTGATCAGTTGTGCAAGGTAGGAAATGTGAAGCCAGAACTACTACTAGCACTGTGGCAATCAATAGGCTTGTGATAATTGAGGGCGTGTCCAGTTTTTCATTTTTCAACTACCAAAAAACCGAAAACCAAACTGAGCAGAGCCAAACGGATAAATCCGTTTGTTCGGCTCTTGGTTTCGGTTTCAATATTTTAACCCGGAAGTTTGATCTTCGGCTACAGCTTCGGTTTTTTACTCAAACCGAACTAAAGAACCGATCAAACGAACTAATTATGACAACAATCGATGAACACCGATACATCCGAATGGCCAGTCTCCCTTACGTAATTGCCCAGATATTTTTCCTTTCTTTTTTTGTTTGCTGATTTTGTACTTTGGAACAGCCTTCCTCCCCCTTTTTTAAGGGAATGTCTACTGCACGCTCAGGTGTTGCATGCCAAAAAAAAAACACTCAATTTGCAACCCCAAATAATATCGAGTGTTTCTAATGCATGGAACACTCGATTGTCATGTCACTGCCCTACATCACTATCGATTCAAATATTTCCTTCACTGTCGAGTTTTGAATCGACAGTGGTTATAAAAAACCGACGGTGACGTGGTTTTTAGAAATCCAAAAAACAGGTTGAAAAAATAGGAATTTTTCGCGGCCACTGGACAGGCACATGGTCGCGCATCGTAAGTCACAAGTCATGTGATTTTTCGCGGCCACTAACGATCGAACCCTAGACATCCAGCTTCACGTCTTTGGCCCCCTAACCACTCAAGTCACACGATTTTTCGCGTGAAAAACGCATGCTTTACGGTCACCGGCGCTCGAACCCTTGACCTCCTACTTCATGTTTTCGGCCTCTAACCACTCCACCTGCAAGCTGTTTGTGTCCAAATGAGATTTTCATCCTAGCCATTTTATGTTCGTCTGATTTTAAAATGAGTATTTGGGACCATAAATAAATTCAAATGAAAAAGTTGTCAACCGCAAAGTTTTATAATTTTTTGAAGTCTACAACTTTTATTTTGATAGTTTCTCCATCCGAGGTCGTTTACAAAATTTGAATTTCAAATTTGAGAAATTTATTGATAAGATGATTTCAAATAAAAGTTGTCAACTACAAAGTTTTATAACTTTTTGAGATATACAACTTTCATTTTTGATATTTGTCTATCCGAGGTCATTTAAAAAATTCAAATTTTAAATTTTTAGAAATTCAAACATAGTTTTCCATGACAAGATGATTTCAAATCAAAAAGTTATCAACTACAAAGTTTCATAACTTTTTGGGATCTACAACTTTCATTTTGGTAGTTTCTTTATCTAAGGTCGTTTACAAAATTTGAATTTCAAATTTTAGAAATTCAAACGTAATTTTGCTTGACAAGATGATTTCAAATCAAAAAGTTGTCAACTATAGAGTTTTATAACTTTTCGAGATCTACAATTTTTATTTTGTTCATTTAATCATTTATTTATCCGACATATTGGTAGTAACATTGTTCACAAATATTACATATACCTCTTATAGTTTGTAAGAGAGATATGTAAATTTTGTGAACAATGTTACTACCACTTTATCGGATGAAGAAATGACTAAAATAAAAGTTGTAGATCTTGATAAGTTCTATAACTTCTATGTTCATGACTTTTTTAGCTGAAATCATTTAGTGTTCCAAAATTATGTTTGAAGTTGCTATTTTTGAAATTCAAAATTCAAATAGATTAAACGCAGTCACATAAAAAGATGGATAAAATAGTAGCTGTAAGAACACAATAAATTAATAGTGCATGATTTTAGAAATTTTAGAAAAAAATCATCAAATTTGAAGTTAGAATGAGGGAGAAAGACTAGTTATAAATTTTAGACAAATATTAAAAAGAGAAATCCGAGTTCTTTAACAATTTCAAATTTTAATTTCAAACAGTTCTTTAACAAAAGTCGAGTACTACAACTTTGATATAAAATTTGTCTTTATCGGACATCATATGAGAAACTTATGAAATTGTCTTGCCGCATATCACTATCGGTTCAAGCCACGAACCGTCAGTGAGAGTATCAGTGTCGGTTCTTGGCTAAAACCGACAATGATGACCTAATATCACTGTCGGTTCTTGGCTAAAACCGACAGTGAAGATCCGAATATCAATGTCGGTTGGTCCTATCACTGCTGATTTTAGCAAAAAACCGGTAGTGACGAGCTATCACTGTCGGTTTCTTAAAATTCGGTAGTGATACAGCCGGCACTAGAAGTCGTATTTGTAGTAGAATTCATGGGATCCATATCAAATAAACCAAATAAAATTTATATAAATAATGCCAAAATATTAAATAAATAAAACAAAAAAAAATAGCCAGATTATTTCAACGGAAGCCAAGATTTCAAAGGAGAGCCAAATAAACATAAAAAAAAGAGCAGATAACTGTTCAAGTAGTTTTTACCATTCTCGTTTACAAACGATCAATGTACACCAATCGAACATGAAATTTACATCAAACATGAATAGTAAAATATGGTTCCATAAGATATAATCTACAACTGTGGGCAAGGAAAGAATCTGCATTCATCCATGAGTTTATGGTAGAGCCCGGCGGTTGCTGTTTTATGCAACCCAGCCCACGGAATGCAACCCAGCGCACGGGCCGAGGTGGGCGGCATGTGGACCCGGGCACAGGAGACCGGATCTCCAACAGGATACATGCATGGGCACTGGGTTGCAGATACATGCATGGGCGACGTGTGGACCCATCTGCATGTGCGGGCGCGGCACTAGACTGTCTCACGCCTGTGCGTATCTGATAGCTAAGAAATCGAGTATGCGCGTCTTCCGAAACACTCGAGCAATCGCTGGATTTACCGTTTTTTAATATAATATGCATCCAGTCGGGGCAACCCCACCTGTTTTTGTTAAAAAAGCCAATAATACACCCCTGCCTGGCGGCCCCCCTCACCCAATATCCTAGTCTAGCAACCCACCACGGCCTCGCTCACTCCCACTCTACCCCAAGACTATCACATTCAGACTTACATGCACTCCTAAACCCCCAACTTGTTTGGGCTAGTGCAATTCTTTATGGAGAACCTAACACCTTGATTGGGGGAAGGCTTGGTGGTCTGGAACATACCTCAGTGCAGTTTTAACAGCAGGTTAGAGGTTGTGTTTTCGCATTCAACACTAGAGGATACATCACCGCATGATTGGGAGTTTTACACTCCTGTTTGATCCTTTACTTACCAGATTTACACTTTCTCATTGTGCTTGATGGCGTGCTCTTTACTTTTCCTAGATTAGCATATGCTAGTTTACAGATTTGGCTCCCCTAAACCTTTGTGTGTTTTTGTAGACAGAGAGCACTACAAAACATAGGTAGACATCAAGTATATCCCTAGGCTAGTTTTTAAAGAGCCAATTAACCCCCTCCTCTTAGGTATTGACCTAAGTTTTTAAAGAGCCAATTCATCCCCTCCTCTTAGGCATTGACCGCTCATTGGTCCTTACACCAGTGCCTCCTAGCCTTGATAGATAGCGGCACAACATGATCCTCATCGACATGGTAGTGTCCTTTGTGCCGGTCGGAGTACATGTCTACCTAGTCGTCATCATGCTAGTTGCTAGATCATCATTACTGGCAAGCGACCTCCCGCTCTAGTACGTCTAAGAGTCCATATTGCTCATGCTATAATTGTGGCGGCATGTTATAGTACATCTCAAGCATCCGAGTTATTTTGGTATGGTAGGATTAGTTTCCATCTTTATCGCTAGGATTACATGGAATAAGCCATAGGTGTTTTTTGTCTCCACGTTGTAAATGGCAACATAAATGGGATCACATCACGAAGCTATTTGTATCGAGAGACATGGTTATAAGGCTCATGTGAGTTACACTATAGTAGTAACCCAACCTTTATGGTTAGAGAGCCTTTGAGTCAAAGACCTAGGAAAATAAGAAATTAGTTAATAAAGGAGAGTAGTATTGTACCCTCTAAGTGAAGATGCTCTCAAAGCTATAAGTTACGTTGGCAAGATGCCTTTGTTGGTATTTCTTATGTCTATTGGATAATCCGCAAGCGCACAAAATATACCGCCAGGGTGTAATCGAAATATGATAGGAAGGGATAATGCAACAAGCCAAGCTAAATATAACTAAAAGATAATTAGTAAAGTATAGCTAGGTGGGAGGACAACGAGCAAGTAAAGGATTCCTGTGATTCAAACTCTACTTCTATGATTCTACCTTAATCATATAAATGCAACACATAGATTGAGTCCACACAACAAGTATACTAGGCGGTAGGTGAGACAATAGGAGACAAAATCTCTACCACAAGCAACTACCATGTTTCTAGCGCCTTACTATTTTAATAACTTGCCTAACAACAAGTGGTGGAATACAAAAGCTAGACAAGGCTATCACCACTTGCTAGCTACCATGAACAATCCGTGCGACAAACGTAACCAAAGGCAAGATAATGTATAAGCACCACGCTTACACCTTATCTCACTACTCTAATTGTGCACGCACAGATCAACTAGAGCACCCTATGATAGGTGGTGATCGTAATACAGGTGTGGGCTTGGATCACAATCTAATATGCAACAAGTATATGCTAAAGATAGAGCATAACAACACTATAACAAGTATAATATTGCACAAAGTAA